CAGAGCGCAGGGTCAGCCATTTATACGGCGCCCCTGGAGCAACTGGGGTTAAGGGCCTTGCTCAGGGGCCCAACAAAGCAGATTTCCTCTGCCGGCCGCAGGATTTGAACCAGCAACCTTCCAGTCACAGGCGCAGATCCTCAGCCACAGAGTCACCGCTCCGCGGACAAGGACAAACCAACCAGCTGTAACACCTCGGCAAAAACTGCGTCAACCCCTGAGCCCTGGAATAATACTCCCAGTGTTTAACGATGGAATGCCACGCTTTCCAATTCTAAAGCAAAACGGTGCTGGAATCAAGTCCCTCATTTGTTCCTGAAGTCCATTCCTTCAAAGGAGCCCAGAAAACACTCAAGAAAGCTTCTCGGAGAAAATCCAATATGGTTATTCAGGATTAATATAAAACCACAGCGACTCTTCTTCATGTTTTAAAAAGCATTTCTTTAAGTTTAATCTTGTGTTTTTTGCAAGTAAACATCTCAGCAAATATTCACAGCCTTCTGAGCAAGACGGAAGGTTTCTTTTAATGTAACAAGGGAGACCAGGAACAATCAATTCAAATTCAGCAATTCAAAACCCACAGTGGGGCCTTGAAAATGGAGGTTCACCATTTTCACCACTGAAGGTTGACTGCTGCCCCCCCTAGTGGCCATCTGTAGCACAGCGGCCGCAGCAGCCCAGCCTGCCTGCTTCTGGGCTGGGTCCACTCTCACAGCAGCAACACAGGGAGCTGGGCTCCGGCCCAGCCTCACTGGACCTAAACCAGTAAGCCTGCTCTGGGGGAACTGTCTGCTTTTTTAGATGTGACTGAAAAGCAGAAAGCATTTCCCATCAGAAGCAATTGATGTGTAGAGTTGCATTCAGGGATTGCAGCATACCACGGTTATTTGTAAGATAAGATGAAATACAAAGAGACTTGGATCCATACAGTTGTGTAACTTGGTAAATTAGGAACATAGCGAAACAAATGTTTCATCCAACTGTTTCTGAAAAACGCCCAGAGTCTGGGCCTCAGCCCCCTGGCTGTGAAGCCTGCTGCAGGTCCAGTACCTTCTCCTCTGTGTGAAGAAGGGGTCCCTGCTCTCCATCCTAAAGCACCTTTTAGTTTTAAATTGTGACCTTGCCCTGTGCCCTTAATTCACTAGGGAGTGCGAGTACAGCCCAATCACTCTGCGGACTAGATCTGGAACTGCAGGTCGCTCAACGACTTGAGAGCAGAACAGCACACAGGATGTATACATTACAGCACTGCTGGTGCCTAACAGCTGCTCAGAAATTGTACTAGACTGTACAACCGATTTTACTTAAAGGTAAACACACTGGAGACCTTTGACAAAGGGAACATTTTACCCTTCTCCCTAGAACAGTACTATCCTGCTGTGCAACCATTCTAGTATGAAATAAATTATTTATTCTAGATGAACAGAGGAAACCAATTCTTCTCAGTCTCGACAGTCTCTCCTCCTACCAGCAGGGGGCACTGACATCCACACAGCCCATCTTTCAAGTCACGGCTGTCTCACCTCAGGAGCTCAAGGGCAAGGAGTCTCACGCCAGCCATCTCCAACAGGCTCTGCCCGCTGAACATAAAGCTCAGTCAAACAAGCGACAAAAACCCTCAGCAACCCATGACCATATTGCACATTTTAAAC